CTTCATGTCTTTATGTATTACACAATCATTTACTTCACTAATCAATGCCGAGAGAGAGAGAGAGAGAGAGAGAGAGAGAGAGAGAGAGACTGGTGTTAAGTATTTAACAGTCGATTATAGAGGAGATTGTGTGAGAAATTAACCTAAATATTGGCGAATTAAAGGCTAATATAATTCAATTGATTTGTGAAAAACTAAAAAACCAAATCATTTTCTCTCTCTGTCTCTCCACTAGTGTATTAATAATACATTATATGATATAATTTTTTTTCTCACAACAAAATTATATATATTTCCACACAAATTGTCCCAAAATATATGCATTGATAATAACTATAATATTTACAGTAAAAACTTAAACACCGATTATATGTTCAATGCGTTTAACGTTTTGTGGTTTACTTTTTGTAAGACTAAAAAAGGTTGTGACAAATAATTACAAAAATATTATATTATTATTATCGCAATTATTGTTATTATTTTATATTTTGTTGCTCTCATTTACACATATATTAAATATCATGTAATAAAAAAAATCAATTGTATTTTTTGTGTATCTAATAATTTTTTGGTGACAACATTTTCTGTCAATTTATTAGATATACAACAATTTTAAAAAAATACTGTATTTAAACATTTAGCAAATATTTTATGCCTACTTTTTGCGGACACCCGGTATTTTGAAATCATAATTTAAATTGTATTTAATTGCACTAAACCAATAAATATTTCTACCTTGGTACTATCTCTCCCGTAGAGGGGGAGTGGGGGAGGGTTGCTGAGGGGAAACGCGCATGTATACCAAGGCATACATAAGTTTTACACAAATACTGTCTACTCTCGCTATGCTGTACACTACCTGTACATCATATGCTATAATTATACAATGATGAAATATTTGCATTGTTTTGCATACATATAATTAACGTCTAATGTCTTCGCAGAACCCGAGCCGTGACTTCGTGGACGACGGGGTGACACAAATCATATCATGTCATCCCAACTATAAGGACCCCTTTGTTAGGGCCCACAACTTCATACTGAGAGGCGATGGACCCCTCTCTTACCCCACGCGACAGTACATTGCCATCATGGTAAGTGATTTGCATTTCACCTATACCTATCTCACTATCACCTAGGGCATTTGCAAATTTTATGTTTTGTTTTATATTAGTAATAATTAAAATTGTAATTGAATTGTATTGACTGGTGATGTGTGTTGTTTAGGCCTCGGCTCGACATCAGTGCACTTATCTAATAAATGTATCTCGAGATGAGTTCCTGGCATCGGGTGGTGATCCGCAATGGCTGCAGGGCTTGGATCACATTCCGCAGAAACTCAAAGATCTGAACCAAATCAACAAATTGCTGGCACACCAGCCGTGGCTCATATCCCGGGCGCACATCGAGGTAATTATCAAATTGCCCAGATTGACATTTTTATTTATTAACAATAACTATCAAATTGCAATACAATCTGATAGCTTATTTCTATGACAACCAAAACCCACCTTGTTTATTGCAATGTTACAATGAATTTCATGAATGTATTATCTGTTTGCGATTGGCCACAGAAACTGACGAAAGGGACGGACTCGTGGTCGCTGTCTGAGTTGGTGCACGCCATCGTAATACTGGCCCACTTTCACGCTCTGTCCAGCTTTGTCTTCGGCTCAAACATCGGCGCCGACGGTCACACCAACGGCGACGAGAAGGAGAACGGACACAACGGTCACAACAACGGCGGCCACAACAACACTGTGCCCTGCATTGGGCCGCCCGTCGCGCCCAATGGCAACCACAACAACAACAACAACAGCCATCACCACAACCAGAAACCTCCGTCGCCGTCGAGTCTGAGCGGTTCGCCGACCACTGGCGCCGAAGTGGAAGCGTTGATGAAGAAGTTGCAGACCATTAGCGAGCAAAAGGCCGGCGCCGGCGACGACGAGAGCGCTTCGCCCGACGAGTTGATGAAGAACTTCGACAAATTGGAGTACAACTCGTCGCAGGAGATGCACAGTCCGGTGCCGTTCGCTAGTAATAACCCGCCGGTGCTTTCGGTGGGCGGTGTGGGCGTCGCGCCCATACAAGTGGTCAACAGTAAACTCAGTGCGAACGCCGGCAGTAATAGTAATAACAATAATAGCGGCAACAATCAGGACAATAGCAATACCGGTGCGATTGTGGGCGGCAATGGTGGGGCCACTGGCGGTGGTGTGGGAGCGGCGGTGGGAGGCGGGGCTGCGGCCCAACAGCAGCCAGTGATTGACCAATCGCTGTCGGAGTCGGCCCGGTTTGTGGAGGACCCGCAGTTTGGTTACGAGGACTTTGCCCGCCGTCGCGAAGAGTCAGATGTGCCCACCTTTCGGGTGCAGGACTACTCGTGGGACGACCACGGGTTCAGCTTGGTCAATCGCCTGTATTCCGATATTGGTAACTTGTTGGACGAAAAGTTCAAAATCTGCTATAACCTGACCTACTATACGATGGGCCACAAGACCAACATCGACACCACGCCCTTCCGTAGGGCCATCTGGAACTACATTCAGTCCATGTATGGCATCCGTCACGACGACTACGACTATAGGGAAGTCAATTTGCTGGTCGAGCGTAACCTCAAGTCCTATATCAAGTCCCTGTGCTGTTACCCGCATCGCGTCCGCACTAATCGAGATTATAGTAAAGTCATGCGCGGCTTCAAGACCTCCGAAAAGGTATGTTTGCATCATGTTTTTTTAGTTTTACTTTTACCTTGATCACTTTTTTTGTTGCTATTATCCTATTCTCTCTGACTTGTGAGTAGTATTTTTTTGCTACCATGGTTATAGTTTTATTTAATTATCAATTTTCGCGCTAATCTCCGCTATTATTAATTATATACAAAATATGTAACCATTTTTAATTTTATCGCTTTCTATGATTAACATGATTAATTGTCTGACGGCATAATCAATCTATTTTAACACATTGCTATTGGCTATAATAGCCAAACAATAACATGAAATGACCATGATTGAATTGAATTATACTTATGATGTCTATATGTATTTTTGATTCAGATTCACGTAAATCTAATGATATTTGAAGCCAGACTTCAGGCAGAGTTGTTGTACGCGTTGAGAGCCGTTATGCGACACATGACCTGAAAAATGGCCAAACGGTTAGCACTTCTCTCACTAATAATAAACATAACAATCAATTGAATGAATGAAATGAAAACGACTCGTAAACTAAAACACAACACAATATGTAATCTGAATATGATTTAGACGACCGCCGCCTCAGACGCCGCCGCAGCCGCTAATATATGTATAATTATTATTATTATATTATATTCTGTACACCGAAACACATGGTTATTATTATTATTATTATTTTGATTACTATTATTATTGATTATTATTGATATGACGAGACATTAATAATGAAAACGATACAAACAAACAAACAAAACGATACAATTCATCGCTGCTTCAAATACTGATAAATATTATGTAATAATTATATTTAATTATAATAATAAAAAGTATATATATTTCTCTCAACGCTTTTTTCACTATTGTTTTCAACAGCGAAGACATTATCCAAACAATTGAAATTGTTTTTAATAATAATAATAATAATAATAATAAATATATTATCATTAAGTTTTCAATTTAGAATTATAAATTGCCTAATTTGAAAATAAATTTATTAGGATCATTTTTATAATTATATATATATTTAAATTATGATTATTATTCAAATTGAAAGCCATTTAATTTAATAATTAAATAACTTGTTTGTCTGAACAAGTGGCAAAAAAATCATGTATTATTTAAGAACATGATAAAAAATACAATTATTAAAACAAAAAAAACACATTGATTTTAAATTATAATTTTAATAAATATTTAGTAATATTACTAATAATAAATTTTAAATATTTTAAAATATATATATCTATGATATATATAAACATAGTTTCGCTTTTTGGCAATTCATTTGATAGTATATATATATTTTACATAGATTTATATATATTATCAAGATCGCTTATGTGTTGCATATGTGGCAAAAATAGGTTTACAAATTAATTATAGAATTAAACACCGTTTCCATTGACACAAACACCCAAACCCCTTATTTGGGGGCAAACATCGAGCTAACAAAACGTATGTCATAAATGCATGACACGATAGATTAAGTCGAAACATACGGTACATTAAATTTAATGCCAAATCCTCGTGTGTTTGTGTTGTAAACTCGCCATCGATTTATAGAAATTATTATTATTTTTTCAATACCTAATCATTAGATATATATATTTCAATGTTTTTCAATGCTTTATATGGATTCCTATTGCTTTGAATCTGAAATATTCGGTTAATTATATTAAAACACACTTTTATTAGTCGTGTTTAATTTTCTATCCCTACACGTTATGGATTGTGTCAACTAATGCTTATAATCAACTAAAAATATATGTATACTCTATGTATAAAACTATTCATAGCATTGATTACAAGCATATAATTTTACTGTTCACTCGCGGCAAACAAAATCAAATTTGAATTAAATATATAACTATTAGATAAGGGTTTGGATTAATGGGATTGTTGTAATCGATGCATATATTATTGCATACATGTATTGATTATAGGTTTCAGCTAAAAATCATGCGAATTATTGGTCAGAAATTGCCAGACATATGAGCGACAATAAAAATGACAAAATTTTTGTGTCAATTGTATAAATATTTTTGCATAACTAAAATATCTAGGCTTATATTAAAATCATGTCGATAGTTTTCTGGGGGGGGGGGTTGGGAATCAATCACATAGTCTGAGTTGGGGGGGAGGGGGCAAAGTAAGTGTACTAATTAACAATTGCTTATTTTTGATTATGTATCAAATCAAATGTGATCACCATGATAATATTTCTGGTAGTTTCTGGCAATATTTTGTGAACGCGCACAGAAAGAGAGACACAATGTTTGAATATTGCCAAAATCATAATTGATCGCGCTAAATTGTTTGCGATAAAACTAATATATGGTGTGAACAGTATGTGTGTGTATATTAATATATACAGTATATACATGTGATCGGTCTGTGATCTTTTCAAACCTATTGCCAGAAATATTTTTGCTCCTAATATACAAACATATTTGTACTTTACATTTGTGTTCGTATATTAAGCGGAGTTTTTAATTATTTTTTATGTCAATTTTTAATTGCAATCGTATTATTAAATAATGATTTGATTATTAGTTTTTTATGGCAATTATAAAGTGTGTGGAGAAGACAACTAAACGGTTCGGTAATCAAAGTGCGAATTGAATTGTAAATTGTTATTATTATTTTCTTTGGTCTGTCTATTGTTTTATTGAAATAAGTGCTAATTTTTTGGTTAATTTTGTACATATAATCTTAAAACCTGATAAGAAAACCAACTTATTAAATTTAGAAATATGATAATTCTCTCTCTCTCTCTCTCTCTCTCTCTCTCTCTCTCTTTAAGAAAAGATATCCAATATTTGATATTAAATCTCTACTTTTGAAGTCAATCATTTCAATGATCGGGAATTACTTCAAATGTAATATTATATGAATTCTTGAAGTGTACTTTTGAATGAACACTCCTTCTCCTCGAGTATATTTCAAATGCTTTATACGAATGAAAATAAATAAATATTTCCATTTAAGAAATCTAATGAAATATATATATATTTATTTCTCTCACTTTACTCTCATTTCAACATTAAATAAGTTATGACTCGCGACGAGAAAGTGAAGCCAAATATTTTTATTTTGCACCAAATTATCGACAAATGAATTGCCTGTGATTTGAAATAAGTTTTTGGTGTGAAAACTAGTTCTGATTATTATCTATATGTACATTATTATAATAGCTTTTCATTTCTATTAAAATTCTCTCTCTCTCTCTCTCTCTCTCTCTCTCTCAACAACTAAAACAAAAAACTTTTACAGAAGTTTAAAAAACTTAAACACAACACTCTTATCGTAAATCTTGTCGTCCCTAACAATTGTCGTGCGATTTAGTAGTGCTTTACATCACTGTCTGTATATGTCTTTTGTTTTCATTTCTTCTTCTGGTGTTAATGTCATATAAATTATGAACAAAATAACAATTAAGTCTGCATTTCATGTATAAAATCTATTACTGAATATCATTTAGACATCAATTATAGGGCAAAACGATAGACAATGAGAGAGTCGGCGAATGAGATCGCGATTCGTGTTAATCAGACATTAAACTGAAACAAAAAAAAATAAATTCATTTCTAACACTTTATATAACTATATTTGTTATAGATTTTCATCGATATTCTGGGTCTAGAATTCTGTATATACTGTATATGTATTGTCTAAACACAAAAAACTATATATAAAACAAAATCTATTTCTCACTTCAGTTCAGATTTAGTCAATTAAAGCCGAAGGAAAAAAACTTTTCCGTCAAATAAATTGTGTATTTGTTTTGTTTGCGTTTGTCTTTTGTTTGTCTTTATTTTTGAGTATCTTTTATACGCTTTTTTGGATATTATTTCTGTAGTGAAGAGATATATATGTGAAACAAATGTTGTGTTGTTTTCCTACTCAACGGTATGTAATCTACTATTTATTTATTATTTATCTCTCAGTTATTATTTATTTTACTTTCCTATCAGAGGAGCGACTATTAAAACAATTATTAAAATGTTATTGACTTTCAAAAACTAAACATAATGTTTGAGAGACTAAATAATTGTTGGCAGGAATAGAGAGCTACAAAATACTGCAGAGAGAGAGAGAGAGAGAGAGAGAGAGACTAAGAAAGTAAGAGATAGTGTGAGTGAGAAAACGGATAATTAGTTTTGAAACAAATAACAACAACACAAAAGTCTAAACCAATTATTTCTTAAACACAAATCCAGTAAAAGTGAAAACAATGTAGTTTTTTGTGTTGAGTTGTAAATTTGATTGACTACTGAATGATTACAATTTACGGCAAAACGAAAAAAACAAACAAATATATAATACTCTTCTCTAATACTATCGGCAATGAAAACTAGACATCATTTTCGCGATCGAGACTTAAACAGTGGAAAACCAGTGGTTTTGTAAAAACACATTCAAACAAAAACACAACACAATTCATACCCAAAACATGTAATACACTATTGAATGTAAAACTGAGAGACAAAACAAAAAAGTTTTTAATTTGTTTTGACAGAACAATAGTGAGAGATAGAGACCAACAAAAACCACAGGACTTTTGCCTTTTATTATTATTACATCTCTTTATGTATGAAAACATTTTGTGCACACAATTTGTGTCTTCAAGAAAAAAAATAAAATAACTTAAAACTAAAACCCAATGTCTCTGCGAATCGCGATTTTCAGTGTTTCACACAATCAGCGAAAAAACAAAACTAAAAACACATTGAAATTACATACGAAATGAACAAAATATATAATATTCAATACATTTAATTTTCAAAAAGTCAATTATCATTATATAAAACCTGAATACAAACTCTCATTCTCTCTCCCTCCCTTTCTCTCTCCCTATCTCTCCCCCTCTCTCTCTCTCCCTCATTACCATCGGTGGGGAAAATGCATCTAATATTTGGTATCAATTATTAAAGCTAATTGTTTTCAACACATTATCATTGAAATAAAATTAATAGTGAATACAAATAGATAGACACAAACATAGGAGTATAGGAAAAGGTACAGAAAAATTAATTTTTAATAGTAATGAAAATCTACACTTAAATTAAAGTGAAAATTCCGGACCGAATATAAATATCTACTGATAGGCAGGGCTTTAACACACACTACAAAATACTAATGATTTTTATTACATTTTTTATATAGAAATTTAGTGATTATATATGTGTTTAGGTATTTTTGTTTCGCTAATAAATGGCATACAAGTAAAACATACATACAATGAGACTAAATATATTAATGACTTTTACATTTCACCGTTAAATAATTGGCGGATAAAACGTCGAGATAAAAATACACGTAAAAATGTATATAAAGTATACTATTATTAATATTAAAACAGTTATTATTACTGATTATTATCTATATGTACATTATTATAATAGCTTTTCATTTCTATTAAAATTCTCTCTCTCTCTCTCTCTCTCTCTCTCTCTCTCTCCTCCGAGAAATAAAATTGAAAAAATGGAAAATACTTTGTTGTCAGAGATATTAGTAGTTTTATTACTGATTATTATCTATATGTACATTATTATAATAGCTTTTCATTTCTATTAAAATTCTCTCTCTCTCTCTCTCTCTCTCTCTCTCTCTCTCTCTCTCATTAATTATAATTATTACAAATATTTTTATGATTAATTTAAATTACAATTAATTCTCTTAATAATTTGCCACAACTATTATTATTATGTTATAATATTTTAATTATTATGATTACAATTCTAATTGTCTTTTACTATTATTTTAAATATATTATTATAAATATTGTATATTTTCTAGTCTATTATGAACTATATTTAATTAATTAATTAATTTTTAGCAATCAATTGAATTTTTATTACAAGTTTTATTTTAATTTTTAATTATTTCT